AGGAACTGGTGTTGGCCACCAAGGAAGCGCAAATGGGAAGAAGGAAAAACAATGCATACTTATCTCTGTATCCATCTTTTTCTACTTTGTTGTACCTAACGATGTATTCATCTATAACCAGAAACAAAATTTCCTCATCGTTTGGTCCAAACCCACTACAAAAGCACTACATTTCCTCATCGTTTGGTCCAAACCCACTACAAAAGCACTACACGTACGTTTTGCAGTCCTCATCATTATTTTCATTCATTTCATACCATTTCAGGTTTTCCAAACACAACCTTCCAAGTTCCAGCAGTTCGGAATATTTCTTCTTCGTTCACATCCCAAAGCAGTATATAATCAGGTTTCCGGTGGTAGCTCATAGTCTTGAGACACCCTCCGCACTCACCTAGGCAATCAAGGTTGGAATCCCAGACGTAAACTTCAGCAAGTTCCATGAAACAACAGTCATATTTGTTGTTGATCATGAAGGGATCCAACCCAAGAAGAAACTTATCACCCATCCAATATATCATTTTACTACAAGCAGAAGCAAAGCTACTATTACATTTGATAGAATGGGACATAAAATCTCGCGGGGATATGATATAACTGTTTCATAAGAGAATATTTGCACTTCATATAATTAATAAAATCTAGTAGAAGGGGGACGGGTGGGGGTGCAACGGTCCTTTCTCATTCGAGAGAGGGTTGGTGCCTTGCACGACGAAGAGCTAATCTCGCCTAATCTATCTCTACAAAGATTTTATAATAAAAAAAAATGGAACTTATTAATATGACAACCTGCACCTACTTGATATTAAGCTGGACAATTTTTCTGATTTCTGACCCCCATTTGTATAGTTGGGAAAATCACACGTGAATCCCTCCGGTAGTGGTTTTATTTCTTGTTTTTTTATCAAATGGAAGTGGATTTATTTCGCTGAATGTGACATCGAGGGGTGAGAGGAAGAGCAACTCATTCTCGAGTGCGTGGATTGCAGATGTGGTAATCTCGCAGACTATACTCACCTGTGTAGCACAAACCTAAGTCATTATACGTAGCCACCACAAGTGGCTTTTCTTTCAAACTATTCGAACTCATGAGTTTTTTTAACAAAGGAGCCAGCGGCTTGGTCGACAACGGCATTCTGTCAAGGAATTCCTCTCCTTTGCTGTTTATCAAAGTACGTACCATCGGCGTTTGCTTATGATACTCAATTTGCACAGATTGAAAGCGGCCCATAAAATAAGGATCGGATATGAGAGTGCACCAATGTCAATGTCTGGACATTAGACATGCATTTATTCGGAGAAATTGCTACAGACTTGTTGTAGTAAACCCACACGAGTGTGGTGTGTTGGACAGGAAAGAATTGAATTCTCTGTACTTTATCTCTCTACTCTCTTCTCCCTCTCCCAATCCTCTTATATATCTCTGTTCTTCTTCTTACCTCGGTTCTATCAGAATTTCAACCAATGCTGCGTCAGGGAGATCGCGCATATTTTTTACAGTGTTCATTGTTGATTTCAGTGAGTGTGTTCTTTGTACTCGCCACGGATGATGGATTTTGGAAAGGATGAATGTGATCATAGGCCAGCGGCCCAGTACTGCTCCAAGGGACGACTGAGTTTAATTATAAACCATCCGTGTAATTGGGGTAATCGAAAAACATTATATATTTGCGCAAGTGGCTTGTAAATCAATTGATTAAGAGTGTTTGGTTTTGTACCAAGATCTCGTAGTTTAGTTGTGTTTAGTGTAAAATATTATAGCGTTTGTCCAAAAAAAAAAAAAAAAAACCTTATATAGCAAAACAAAATAAACAAGTATATATATAGCTAGAATCCCATTACAATAAGACCACAAAGTAAACAATTTTTAAGATTATTAGAGTTCGGAATTATGCAAGCTTTATTCTGTGAGCCGCCATGAGAGGTGCTACTAAAAGGATGTGGCGTATAATGGCGTAGTCAGAAATTATTTGGTGGGTGGGCTAAACTAAAATTATTACTACAAAATCAAGTTTTTAATCCTATGTTGCCTACATAAAGTTATATAATAGTAAAAACTTGAATGCAATAATTTGAAGCAAGAATTTTATGCTATGTTTTCTAGGTTTCTAGCCTTCAAAGCTTTCAAGTGAATAAAATAAGGAACCATTTGTGATATGAAAGTTTTAATTTATTACTATTAAATATAATATTGATTAAAGTGATGAGTTTATTTAACATCTATTAGCTCTTATTATTCTTAAAAATAGGCTTACTAATAAAAAATTTCATTTCTTATGTGAAATATGACAATTAAAAATCATAAACTAACCTAAAAATTAATATTTTTAAGCTTGAAGAACCAAACTCTCCCTATGCTATAGCCTAGGGGAGCCTTGTACTTGGCTCCGTGGCGTAGAAAGTCATCTCCTCATTCACAACGATCATCGTCAATAAGAGTACAACCATCGCAACGGGAGATGATTATTATTAGTACCATTAATGATCTCCCAGATGTTGTATTGGTTGAAATTCTTTGTCGACTTCCTTGTTCTAAGTTTGTTTTTCAATGCAAGTGCGTGTCAAAGCGTTGGTGCACTCTTATCTCTGATTCTTATTTTGTTGATCGTTTTATAAATCTGCAAATTGAATATCATGCGCAAACGCCGATCACACTAACAAATAGCATCCTAAAAGAACTCGTTGATATAATGGCCAAGCCCCTAAATCCTTTTCCTAGAAAACTCAAGAAACTTCATGGTTTGAAAGAATAGTTCGTCGTAGTGGTAGGTAGATATAACGACCTACTTTTGTGTTGTGCGGGTGAGTATCATCAACGCAGTTACTACATCTGCAGTCCATACACACAGCAATGGATTGATCTGCCTCCCCCACCTCCATGTGACAAAGAGATGGAACCGCTGCCGGAGGGATTCATGTGTGATCTTCCCTACTACAAGTATGCGAAAGGATATATTGTACAGCTTAATCCTGAGTACAGGTGCTGGGTTGTGAGATTGATTTCTCACCGTTATAGGATGCCATGCAGCGAATCCAAGGTGCAAATCTTCTCTTCTGAAACCGGTGAATGGAGGGAGTCTGTTGTATCATCCCTGCAAGATATTCGGCCCAATTCCATCGATTGCGATGGTTGCTATGCTATTGCTTCCAACAGAAAGCTGTATTGGATGAGTTATGGTGAATTTCTTCTCAGTTTTGATCCCTTCCTGATCAACAACTCTGTTAGAACTAGTCGCAAGGATGGTGATGAAGATATTACTGGTCCGAGTTACAAAATGTCATCTGATTGATATTGATTCAGATAGATTTTCGATACCTAGGTGTGTACCGAGGGTGTCTGAAGATTTACGCTTACAACGAAGATACCAATACTTTATTAGTTTTGGACTTGAATGGCGACGAAGAATCATCCATGGAGGATTTGAAAATTTCTTTCTGGAAAACTGTAAACGCATGGAGATGGAGATGATAAATCCGGAAGAAAACGAGATACAAGGTGTAACTTTAGACCCAAATAACGAAGAAATTTTGTATCTAATTAACTATGGATGACGAGAATTTCATGCTCAACCTTCGCACAAGAATTTTGTCAAAGATGGAAGACAAGATTATGTTCAAGATTCGTGACATGATTCTTAAGGAGGAGTTGTCCGAATACAAACTCCCATTTGTGCTGACATGGTAGCCGACACCAGTTCCTAGACTACCGCAACATATCTAGAGGACCATCGAGGTAATTTGCGGGCTGCGAAAATATGTAACGAGATTTTTTATAACAGCTGCAACAAGTTTAAGTGATTCTTGTGTTTAATCTATTTATTGATCAAATCTTGTTTACTTTTTTGAAGGGCTTGCAAAAGATAATCGGTCGGACGGTACGAAGATCACAGAAGAGAATCTGTTGAGGCGTAGTAATTGGTGGTTCATGTTTTGTTGATACGAAGATTGCATGCATCACAAAGCAAATAGATTAGTTTCATGGTTTAATTTAATCTGTGTTTTAATCGTATTTGGATTTCTAGTTGGAATTTATTGCATATCTCGGTTTTGGTCTCCTTATAATTTTATGTTTTTTTTGTCACTAAAACACGCTGGTCATTATTATTAATTGATTACCCATTAATCTTAAGCAAGAGAAGAAATATAGCTATGAATCCCAATACAACTATATTTTTAATTTTTATTCATCCTAATACAATTGGATCACTGAGTGAACAATTATATTCTCTTTGAAAACAATTATTCTTATTATTTATTATCTTTCTTGTGATGCAAGCTTTCTGTTTCCTATACTTACGATTATAATGATTTGTAATATACTTAAGATAACAAATTTAGAGAAGATAGGGTTGAACTTTGAGTTCAAAGAGAAGTCGATTGTCTTGGTGAATAACTCAATTGATTGAAGTGAGTTCTACACCTGAGGTTTCGAGTTTATATCTCTCTTCGTGTGTCATTTGTATACATTTACAAACTGTTTTACCAGTAGATTTACTTAATGCATAAATTATTCACTTACAACCTAATACAAATGTCGGTTTACCGCAATAATGGAAAAAATATATCACAATGTAGGTTCGATCTTCACTTTTATCGTTTTCCTTACAACTAACTTACTAACGTTATCATTCTGCTAAACAAAAACTAAATAATAAGGTGAAATAAAAAGACATATAATGTATCCATGTTGCTGTTAAGGGAAAAGAAATCACACGATCTGATTGAGAGTGATTGTAGCTTCTGAAATTGTCAACTCTTGGGATAGAGTGATCGTAGGATGAAAATGTAATTAGCTTGAGTATAAGTTCTGTTTACTTAGAATAGCATATAGAATAGTAGGAATTAGGTTAAGAATGTGATTGTGTAAATCTTAAGAAATCCTTATAGAATTCTATCATATCTTTTAAATGGTATCCTGATTAAATTGTAATACCTATTGGATTAGGAATTAAAAATTATACGAGAAGTAAAAAAGGTGCGTGTATAAATAATACTCGTCATCCGGCTGGTCGTTGAAACCCCTTTCACAAACCTAAACAGTAAAAAAAAAAAAAACCAGAAAATTAGTTCAACGAATCAATCAAATTACGGTCATCGGCATGGCGGATTCGGTGACGATGGATGCGTTAGAGGCGATCACGACCTTCGAATCGATGCGGTTAAACGACGACGTTCTCAGAGGCATCTACCACTTCGGCTTCCAGAAGCCCTCCGCCATCCAGCAGCGCGCCCTTGTCCCTATCATCGGCGGCCACGACGTCATAGCCCAGGCCCAGTCTGGCACCGGAAAAACGTCCATGATTGCCGTCGCTGTCTGCCAGCTCGCCAACACCGCCTCCAGGGAGGTCCAGGCGCTGATACTCTCGCCGACGAGGGAACTGGCGGCGCAGACGGAGAAGGTGGTGCTGGCGGTTGGGGGTTTCGTGAATGTACAGGCGCATGCTTGTGTCGGAGGCAAAAGCGTGGGCGAGGATATCAGAAAGCTTGAGCACGGGGTCCATGTGGTGTCCGGAACACCCGGCAGAGTCTGCGACATGATCAGGAGGGGAGCTTTGCGCACCCGATCGATCAAATTGTTAGTTCTGGTGAGTTTCTAATCTCCATTAAAGTACATTAATTTGTGTTTAATGTTGTTAATTATTGATTTTGCAAATTACTTAATATGGTGTTTTCAGGATGAAGCTGATGAGATGCTGACCAGAGAATTGAAGGATCAGATTTACGAGGTCTACCGATATCTTCGTCCTGACCTGCAGGTTTAATCACCATTTAGTCTCTTCCCATGAGCATTTTGTTCTAATCAAGATTGTTAATTCAAAGAATTAATTAGCATGTTTGTTTATCCGAAGTGAAATCGGTGGTAATATTGATAATGTGGTATTGTAGGTTTGCTTAATTTCCGCTACACTTCCTCAAGAAATTTTGGAGATGACCAACAAGTTTATGACCGACCCCGTTAGGATCCTTGTCAATCGTGATGAATTGACTTTGGAGGTAAGTATTTCGGACGTGTGCTACTGCCTTTGAAATTTGAATGCAATGTGAATGAAATTTGAGGTGAATTGAAATGCGTATATTGTATTTTGCATCATGACAGGGGATCAAGCAGTTTTTCGTTGCGGTTGAAAGAGAAGAATGGAAGTTTGACACTTTATGTGATCTGTATGATAATCTTACAATTACTCAAGCTGTTATCTTTTGCAACACAAAGCAAAAGGTAAAGTGTTATTTACCGCTCGAGTTGATATTTGATACTAATGTTGTGAGTTTTGATTAGATGAGAAGGGATCCACGACTGGAGTTCTTGGGTCATGGATTCTGTGTGGAAAGTAGGAGTATAGCATAGGATCCTGACCTCGGAGTTATTTTGATATCAGGTGAGATATATTAAACATTTCCTTTTCTCTTGGCCTTATTCCCTATGTATCACTATTCTTGCCATAGCTACTCTGGTTCTATAATTTCCTGGTGTATCCTTATTGATCCTTGCAACCCTATTTCAACAGGTGGACTGGCTCACTGAGAAGATGCGGAGCAATAACTTTACTGTGTCTTCAACGCATGGAGACATGCCTCAGATGGAGAGGGATGCTATTATGGCTGAATTTCGCAGTGGCAATACTCGTGTCCTCATCACCACAGATGTTTTGGCCCGGGGTCTTGATGTTCAGCAGGCAAGTTCTTAGGTTCTTTTTGTGCAATACTTGTATAGTTATAACCAACTGCTAGAATCAGAAATCTCTTGACCTACAACTAGACGAGAAATCTCTAAGAATTGCAGTGATGTTTAGGAGATTCTTGTCGTGGAACTTGCTACATGTTGGAGGTCATAAATAGTTAAATACAGACCAAAACCTTCAAGCTGCACTCTGGTTTATGGTTGTAGGATTAGGCCTAAGGGTGCTATATCGGTGAGAGACATAATGGAGTTGAACCTGCATGTAGAATAGTTTAGTAATTCCTAGTAGAAAACATGTTATACCGATTGATTTGCTGCACTGATTTTCTAACCAGGTTAACCATTTCCCCTTGATCAGGTTTCCTTGGTTATCAATTATGATCTTCCAAACAACCGAGAGCTCTATATTCATCGGATTGGTCGTTCCGGCCGTTTTGGGCGCAAGGTATGCATTCTATATTCTAACTATATACACAGTGGTATAAAGAAAAATCAAACAAGCTTACACCATCTTTGTCACAACTTTTCTTTTGAGTGTTGCAACTGTTTTATCGATGGATCTTAGGCTCTTCGTGTTGTATTTGTTATATTTGCCAAATTTCAAGTGAATGTTGACTTTAACAAATTCATTAGAGACATCTTCTTTCAGAAATTACGAATTTCTTTCTGTCGCAAGATCAAATCTTATTAATGAGACGCCAATAGTTATGATTGAAGATAATACAAAGAATCTTGAGCAATATATAAATTCACATTGCACGCTCATTGAACACTTGCAAACTGTGTGGGCACAGTTCATCCCCTCTAAAAATCTCTTGCATTTTTATCCCTGTTACTGCTAAAAGAGCTCATCCCCGTTGAATTGACTGACTTACGAGTCTTTTCGATGCTAAGAATCAATATTGTATTTCAGAACCAGAAGTATTGCTTGCTGGGTTTTCTGTATTCTTAATCTATGCTTGTTTTTTCTCATTAGTCGGTATCATCTTATTTGTTTGCTTGTTGTTATTGCAATTAATGGGCGATTTGATTTCTCGTAGGGAGTGGCAATAAACTTTGTCAAAAGCGACGATGTAAGGATTTTAAGAGACATTGAGCAGTACTACGGTACCCAGATTGACGAAATGCCAATGAACGTTGCGGATTTGATATGAGCTCATAGCTGAGTTGCTGGCCATCCTACGACCGTTCTGTGTCGATTTAAATTCAGTGACATGGTTTTTCTGATGTTGATTAATAACTGGCAAACTTGCAGTTGCCCTTGCTCCTTATTTTTCTATGGATTAATGACTAGCTTAAAGCTTGAATGACATTTTCTTCGTTGATTAATGTTTTGATGTCTCTCGACTTTCGTAAGAAACCATACCAAACTTCTTTGTTTCCCTTCATCAAAAGTAGCAATTTCGTAAGATTAGCTTCGTCAACAGTACAATTAAGCAGACAAAATCCGCACAAACAACTTAATAGCGCAACTATGAAGGCTACTAATCAGTACGGCTCAACAGATTCTCTTTCATTATCCGTGATCGAGACTGGACGGCTGAACAGAGTGGCCATCGAGACCGAGGCGGCTTTATCTGAAAAATCAACGAGTTGAAATACAAGATTCACTTAAATGTAGAGGTTCGGGATCATGTTGCAACTAATGAGTAAATTAAGCCATCCTCCTCCATGTAGATGATTCTGCTCTTCCTTGGCGCCGACACGGTGGACTCAACATTTCTTCCCATTGCATCTCAACATGAATGAATGTTGAAGACCATCGAGCCAGTGCCAAGGAAGCGTAGAACAGCGTCAAGGAAGAGGAGTCGTAATTTGCAGGCAGCAGCGAGAATGGGGAGGACATATTTGCTAATTACATTTTGTTGGGTGACAGTACACTCTTGAATTATGCGTGTGACAGTTGAAGTCGGACAAAGGCAAGGACTTGGTGGATAGGGGTGTGGTTCCAAATTTTGCTTTGGTGTCCTTACGCTCGGTTTTGCACCTAGTCTTCCGTTAACTCTAGATACTCCATATATTTTCTTGTAGTCTCTTTTAAAATCTTCTTATATCTTCCTCTACCTTTTTTTTCCATGAACCTCTGTATCATATTCGCATCTTCCAATCGAAATATTGATAGGTCTTTGGTTCACGTATCAAAACCGAAATAATTGCTAGATAACCAAATCACGGGAAATTATAAAATAAAATAAAACTGATTAATATCTTCGTACTAATAGGAGTGGATTACAATTTTGTTTATTTGCATTTTTTTTTTCATCTCACAAGTTAAGTTCAGGACTTCTCCCACAGAACAATAAAGGTTTGATGACCTGCCATCGCAGTCATCAACAAGCTTTATAAAAGACGGTGCTCAGAGTCTTGGATAAACGCTTTAAAATAAAGCGAGATTCTGAGCATCGTCTCTTAACCAGATACTTGTCATATGTTAAAAATATAAAAAATAAAAAATAACGAAAAGTTTTAAAAAATTTATTTTTAATGAAAAAAAAGACAAATAAAGATGTAGTGAATAGTATCAAAAAAATATAAAAATATGATTTTTTTTTTCGTTAAAAATAAATAATACTAGAAATGTTTAGTTAAAACTTCTTAAAAAAAAATCTCAAATGCTTGTTAATACTTGTCATGTGTTAAAAGCAGATTGATGCATACTTTTTGATTCATTTGAAAATCACATAACGCCGAAATTCTTATTGAAAATTTAACTACTTTTCGAAGAAGACTTGAAAGTGATTCGTAAAGAAGATCGTCCGTACAAAAGTGCTTTTAATATTCTTAAACCCTTTCAAAATTTGTCTCGCACTCGATTAAATGTTTAAGTCCAAGCCGTGGTGAGAATGGACCATGCGAAAGCTTTTGATTTTTTTATTATCTCTATTTAATTTTGTTATATATGTAAGTTTGTGATTTGTTACCGACACTTTAAAATAGTTATAATAATATGATCTGCATATATTATCTCTCCTATGCATCTTTATAGGCTTAGATAATGCAGTGTAGAAGGACTTTTTTTTAATTGTAAATAACATACTTCTTTTCATCATTTGTTTTGAATGTACGGAAAAGGATCCTCGTTGGATCATTTTTCTGAGGATCAGGAAGATTTCGTGATCGTAATCATTCATTATATATCGTGCGGTTAGAAATTATTTAAAAATTTAAAATTTAAAATTAAATATAAATAATACCTAACAAAAACTGATCACATAATATACGATAAACGATCACGATCAAAAGATCCCTCATATCCTTAGGAAAAGAACCCGGCGAGGATCCTTTTCCTGAATGCACCACTATGTATGCACGTGGAGCAATGATTCTTTGACAAGTGTAAATTGGGACTGAATTTAAGAGGGTCATAAAGAACTTCTTGGACCATACACTATGACGAGCTGGCAGTCATCAACTAGAATTTAAGATGGTGTCCCCAGTTGTACTATTTTCTTTCCCCAGCCAGTCCAAAAAGAATGACACTTGATAACTCAAATAATAAGTCCATATTTTTATTTAAAATTGTTCGTTGCGGACTTATAAAACTTTGTATTTATAATAAAAAAATTTATTTATATTATAAATTATTTTATAAAATTCATATCTGTAAAAGATCATTCAAAACTAAGGTCCTCTGGTTGACAAATTGTATAAAAACAGATGAACGAAATTGGTAAAAGCATTACAAATCGTCTATGTATTTGATACAATAAATTGACTAAACGATTTTAGTTTTAATTCATTTTTTGCGGAGCTAATTTTTACATAGTGATGCATAAAATGAACGATTCTGACCGTAAATACAAAGTTATGTAATTCGAATACAAAGAATTTTGAGTAAAAATTCTTACTTATTCTTGAATAGCTAAGCATTGTTGGCCAGCGAATTCATTTTTCCTAATTTTTTTTTGCTTCTGTAGATCACATGGGAATCATTAAAAAAAGAGCCCACCATCATCCGCCACATCTTGTTATTTTACCAAAAAATGGTCTAAAAACTTGATATTTCGATTTCGCACTTCCAAGCCAGACAAACAAGTGTTTTTTATTATCAAGTATTTTTCTACTCTAGCACCTCCATGGGACCCCATTATTGTATTTTCAAGCTTCCATATCAATCAAGATTTTAAACCCACGGGGGCGTAGAGCCCATCTCAATAAATTGGTTTAGTACTGCTTTGTTTCTCGAATTACCAATCTGCCCTCCGAAATTCTTTTGCTTCCAAATTTTTATTTGTTAATTTAAACTTACGGAAGCGGCAGCCACAATAGGTCTCCATCACCATTCACCGCCTTTGAGTGCCTGCCGACCGCTTTCGGCAGGACAACTTTTGGACCCTGTTCAGTTATGGCTTTAGACCTACAGACCCTGACCCAGTGTTTAAAAAATCTACGAGGTTGTCAATATTTTCATCGAAGTATCCAACAATCAAGGATTGGTATAGAAAAAGAGAAAGGGGATGAAATGAAAACTTCATCCTATGTCGATGAGGTATAAGAAAATCAATGAATATCATTGATATTTACTGATTCACTGAAGAAACTTTTCAAGAAGTCTTTGTGGATTTCAAACTTTTGAATTTTTTTTGAGAAATTTTTCTTTAATTTCGATTAAATCTGAATGAATTGATATACTCACTCTATTGCAAATTTCCGTCAAAGAAAACCGATATCAATAGCGATATTTCTATCAATATTTCCATAACACCTATATTGGTATTCATATTGACCACACCACAGTTTATCTTTGGCAGTTTTATTTTCTTATAAGCAATGCCAAATTTTAAAAATAAGTAGTATTATCTAAATTCTCGTTACGATACTGTAGTTGTTCATCTTTTCTATATGAATCACAGATTCACATATATTTTTCAATGTGACCAAATTATGGATGTATAAGAAGAAATTTATGTACATGCATCTAACTGTGATTTTGAGCTACGATAAGCTATTGATCTATGCATGGCTAATTAAGCTAGATCCATAGGTAGGAGAGGGACTATAGATTAATTAATGAAGTTGAATGTGACGCTTATGAAAGCATTATAAAGCCAACCCTAACTAGCTAGGGCAACATATATATGCATGTTGTTGCTGCTATTCCAAGATCAGCTATAGTCTCCTAAAGACGACCCAACTGTGCAAGCTTCCATGCTAGGCTAGTTCGAGCTGGTGTGGCTTGAATGAGTTGACGGGTTTGAAAGGCTTCATTAATTTATCTATTGAACTCCATATGGATATATGTTTACCCTAGCCGATTAGGTTAACTCCACCAAGGATGGCTAGTTATTATGCATCATTACAATGTCTAATTGGAGTTAATAACCAGCTCATTTGTAAGTACTTTTAAAATGATTAAAAGTGTTTTTAAAGAAAATGTGTTTGTGTTACAAAAGTACTTGTAGTGTATCCTGGTGTTTTTTGCAGGATGCACTACAAGTTCTTTTCTAGGATTCACTTGCATTTTTACTAAGAATTAGTTTAAAAAATATTTTTATCAAAAACTTTCAGTCATTTAGAAGTACTTTCAAATGGCCCTACTTGTCTAATTAAGCAGCTAGAGAGCAATTTTAGTAGAATGAGTGTGGTCTAAATACAAAAGATCTCATGCTATTACGAGAAGTGCCCTGCAAATAACGTGATCGGATATCCTACTCAAGATTTTCTCTAGCGGTAGGGAAATAAAGTAAGATATGAAGGTTTTTTGAATTGATTTATTTTGGTTACTAATATAATGCACCTACCAAGCAATATTAATGGTGACAATATCACACTTAAATCAGATCTGCATGGACCAGTGGTCAGTGCTTATGCTTACATTAAATCTTTACCTCTTTAGTGTTGAAACCCACTGAAGATTTGAGGAGATTCTGAAATTATAGGAGTAGCATTTTATGTAGGAATAATTACTTGCTAGAGGCGGCCAATGATGTTGTTCTATGAGTTATATCCAGTTGCTCCGCTCTGGTGAATGCCTTCAATTAATATCGACTGCATAGCATAAAACTAAAGAGATTTGATATATATAAATTGGTTTAGAAAAAAAATGAAAATACGTGTGCTCACTTCGTAGTTACGCATGCTTCTCCGTTCTTTTGTGATTAACGTATTTTCACTATACAACAGTTTAAATATTTCTCTTTACTTATAAGATGTGTCTCTTAGATTCGAATCTCATAGACTAAGAGTTAGATACCAATTTATTTCTTCCACCGCTTAGTGTAAATATATTGTTGTATAAAAAACAGTTAAAATCATAATTGTTATTTTTATCATCATTTAAATTAACTTATGCAAAAAATTAAGGGTTATTATACAAAATGGTCCCTGAG